CCCGACTGATGTTGACGGTGTCATCCTCTAGGATGTATCTCCATGATGTAAAACCAGAGTATATAATAGGTATAGATATTGGAGTCAGAAGTTTGAAGAAAAGCTTTACATGGAAATTAAAACGAAGAGGAGTTTTATTGTATTAATATGCAACGAAAAGTATGAATCGCCACTGACTGAAGGTTGAATCATGTGCGCCCTTTTGTAAACTTTGGGCTCACGAAAAATGTACTACTATCGAAGAGAATAGTAAAGGTTACGTATGTGATATGTGGCACACAAAGAAATTGTAGTTTATTATAAAGATTTAATTGAGTCGTTTTTGATTAACCCATACCGTTCCATTTCCCCCGCAAGATGATCTGAATTACCACACAGGATATCGGGTAAATAGGAACGGCAATGTTTTTTGTTTTCGTTCATATTTCTAATAAAACGTCGATTTTTGAGATTTACTTTAAGTAGATAGATAAGCAAAGTATATGTTGCAATAAAAGTTGATTATGTCTGAGACTTTTTTCGATTATCATTGAGCGTTGAAAGTTAAGTGTTCCCAATTCCCCTACTTTCCCCTACTCAGAGTTAGAATCGTTTTGATTTTATAATGAATTGTTGCAATTTCCATATCCTCTTATACTGCTGTTAGCAAAAATACCTATTGATTTTTTCATAAAATTACAGTTACTAAGCGTGAATTATTACTTAATCAATTTCTAATTCCTGTCATAGATTTAAATAAGGAAGAAAAATCAAGATACCAACTTCGTAGAAGAAGATTATCGAACAATCCAAACTTTGCTTTGAACTTGGATATGGGCTATCAGATCAACGAGGGTAAAGTTGTTGATGAAACGCCATCGCCTAGTTCTTACAAATTTTCAACAAAATCTAAAGAGAATTTGAATTCTGCTCTCCAAGAATTTCGAAACAAACAGCAATCGTTTGACATACAGGTATGTCTGCACATATATATTAAAATTTTACTGGTTAAGCGAAGTTTTTGATGTTTAAGTATAGTCTATGTCAATGTGGACGAGCGGTAATAAAGCAACCTGCAGGTTTTGAGATTATCTCACATGTCACCTACGTATATACTTATTAGTATAAAAGTATATACTCGCGGGGGCGAAAAGCGGCCCACGGAGAGCCGCTTCGCTACGTTGAATGTAAAAGGAGGAATAGATGGTAAGGTAGATGAAGTATGTCAGATGAAGAATGAACGGTGCATAGATATTCTGTGCGTGAACGAAACCAAGAGGAAAGGATGTTACACCACGGTTAATACACGGCATACTGGTCGGGAGTCCCCCAAACCAGCCGAGGCTGTCAGGGAGTTGGTGCGATTCTTTCATCTCGAATAGTTGAATGTGTGATGGACCATGAATGTGTAAGCCCAAGACTCCTCTGGATTAGGTTAAAAGTCGGACTCACTCGCTTGTTTATCCTTGGGGTCTATGCACCGACAGATCTGCACGGAGGTGGGTCATTGAAAGCCCAACAAGAGAGAGAGCAATTTTGGGATAGCATGAGAGAGGTCTTGAATAAATGCGGAGAAAATGAGCGGATCGTGATGTTAGGGGACTTTAATGGGTGAGTTGGAGTAAAGCGTGATGTTGTAAGCGTGAATGTAAAGTTGCAGGCGGTGTGCCGGCATGAAATACTGTCCCGCTCTGCTGAGAACGCCAAGGGTTTTAGAGGCCAATTTGGTCTTCTTTTCCAAGTGACCCCGAAAATGTACATCATTCGATATGTCTACGCCGAGGGTTTCTTCAATCTGAGGAGGTACGACAAAGAGTTTCATTTTAGCGGTAAAGTGGACTAGATTTTGTCGCCCTTAATCCGAGATTTTGTTCAGCTGAAACTCGACTTCAGACACAAGCAAAGAAAGACCGCATCCTATCCCAATCGTCCGATCTATCACTATAGGTGCCGCCGTTTTATGTTACGTTAACTATTTCATTTTAAGTTACGTTAAATATTGCTCGGCAGTAACCAAATGCAACCGCGATGTTAGCGTGAGTGGCACCACACTCCGGACGTTGACGTCGACGGAGACCTGATATCCGTCCGGATAAGAGGTCATCAGAAGGTCCAATAGGGAAATTGCGTTATCTCCCACATCTGGAATCCGCGTAGGCAAAAGATGGACAGGTCCGAACCTTTAAGACTACAGACGCGTCGAGAACAGAAAGAACAAAGGGATTGTTCCAAGTTATACCCCGGGTGGTAGGAGATACGAAATATCAGCCGAAGAGGACACTGGCGTCTTGGTTAGAAAGAGCAAGGCCGGCATCGCCATCTTCAGATGGTAGTGGACGTCGTTTAGGTTAAAGTGAAGTCCCCTAATGTTGCAGAAATTGGTCTTGTTGCTTAGCTTTCCCCGAGCAGTTATTATCTTGAGCAGAATTCTACCCCTCCCCTCCCCTAATAGGGGATTGTGCCTCCGGCCACGCTGGTAAACGCTGGCCCATACCTGCAATAGCAAAAGCTGCCGCGTGGCTCTACCGCTGCTGAATGTTTTATTTGTTGCATGTCTGAGAAATTAAAAAAACATATACTTTGAAAACACATGAAGTCCGCCAACTCGCATTGGGACAGCGCGTTGGAAATTTCCTTGCATTAAAACAATCTCAGAAATGAGAAGCCTGTGTCCACTTTACTTTTAGTTCTCTATCAGAGGTCATGAGGTATTTCTGACCTTTAGTATAGTTGCCTTTTATAAAGGGGGTGCTGCTTACGCTGCCAAGTAAGGGACCAGCACCGCATAAAAAATATACGATCGAGTAGAGGTATATGGTGTAAAACACCGTCAGCCTGTAGGTAGATCTAACCAAATCAAATGACCAGATTTTATTTTATAGGAGAGGGGGAAAACGAGCATGCGGCTCACCTGATGGTAAGTGACTACCGCCGCCCATGAACAACTGCAACACCATGGGAATTGCAGATGCGTTGCCGGCCTTTTAAAAAGGAGTAGGCTCTTTTCTTGAAGGTTCCTAAGTAGTATCGGTCCAGAAAAATCGCTGGTGGTAATCGATTCCACAAGGAAGTTGTGTGAGGGAGAAAACTTCTTCTAAATCGCGAGTTTTGTCGCGATGTGCGATGGTGAAATTGAGCGGCTGGAATTAGTAGAAGTATTAATTATTAGAAGATCAAATTATTAGTGCAAACTTCTTAAATATAATGACTTTTTTCACTTAATTACTAAAGTACTATGTTCAAGGTCTTAACTTATACATATTACTATGTGAAATTATCGTGCTGACTACCACGTTGGTCGTCGGGCGTCGTACGTCGTAGGTCGTAAGCGTGACTGCAGATTATGTGTTTCTATCCCGGGATATTATGGGTTAAAATCAGTTATTGGGGTTTTCTAAGAAATACTAAGTAGCAACTCAAAGTTATTTACGTTATTTACGTGGTAGAGCCAAGCTACAGCTATATTAGTAGTATAGTTGTAGCACGAATGGGTCGGTTCGACCGGGGAAGGACCACGCTCCCACAGAATACCAGCGGAAAATAGCAGCTTAACACTGCTGTGTTTCGTATGGTGACTGTAGAGAACCGGAGACCGTTTTTACTGGAAAAGAGGCATTCAATCTTAGTCCTCACTGGTGACAACGCATCTGCATTTTGATTCGCAAACGAGGGTAGATGTAGCCATGGGTCACAGCAACCACTTACCATCAGATGGACTGTGTGTTCGTTTGTCACCCTATCCTATAAAAAAAGTCAAGAAAATTGACGGAGTTTCACCACCGTGCACGTTTGTTGTATTACAGAATAACATTGTATTACAGTACCTAATTGAATTTATATTAAATAATACTGCAATTATGTCACACTCAGCTTTATTACCATGAGTTGTCTATTTCACAATACATATATTACACTCATACATATTATTTTTTGTTAAGAAATAAGAAATAATTTGTATTCAATGCCAGACTTATTACTATACCGTGCTAATTTATCACCGTTACTGTATTAAATGTATGTAATGAAACACACCACTTAGTACACCGCTGCTAGGCGACAAAATCAGACGAGAACCATATCGCTAATTTTCGGAGAATAAATTACTGTAAGGATTTTCAGATCTTGTATATTAAAATCTTTTCTGCCGACTTCAATAAGGAGACGATACTCAATTCGACTGTATGTTCTTTTTATGTGTGTTACCTCATAACTTTTTACTGGGTGAACTGATTACAATCATCCTTTTTTTATTTGAAAGCTGGTATTTCACATGTGGTCCCATATGACTTTGATCAAGTTCAGACCTACAGTTTTTGAGTTATTCTTAATAATTTATATTGAAGACGGCTATACAAAAAGAAGAGATTTGGATCCATGCCATGATCAGCAGTTCTGCTTATAACAACAAACCAACGAGTCTGTCATTTTATGAATTAATTTGTAGCCTAAGTTCAGGGAATTTCGTTAAATAAAGCCACATATTAAAATAATATCCATTTGAGCAACAAACATGTTTAACTCTAGTGGGAATAGGCTTTTCAATACTGTCAGCAAGGCCACATTCCACAGTTATTTCTGGAATAAATTATATACTTTATATTATATTGTTTAAAATTCAGATAGAAGACTGCGAAGAGGAAGAAATAACAATATACAGTGATGACGAAGCAGAGCCTGAAAAAGCGGGGCCATCATGCGCCTCTAACCGTCCCATAACACCAACGCCCGTTCAGGATTTCGGCACTAATGTAGTTTATACTGAAGGCGAGTAATCACATCACCTTACGCAACGCATGCATGTTCCGTTTAAAACAATAAATTTTATTAAAATCAAGGTCACAAAATTAAAAAAAACCACTAAACACATATTCAGTATAATACCACTTTACATAATTTATGCTGAACTGAGTTACCGGCATACAATACTTTATTTTATCATCATTATCATCCATTTACTTTAGACGTCATAAGCGTTACATGAATCGGAATAAAAATACTAATTTGAATTTCTTCGGGAAATAAATTAAATTATTTGTTAGGGCCGGTTTTTCAATCGTGGCACAAAAATTATCCTTATAACCCAGAGTAACATGGGCCACCAGAGGATCGGAGGGGAGTAGCCATATGCAGGCGTTCCCCTCTGTCAAAGTATAAGTCCACGCGGTACAATAAAACTGGTTGAAGCCGCACTGCTCACTAGACTTAATCTAGCTGCGTGGTTAAATCGATGTCCTACAAAAATGCCGAATTGTTCAATTGTAAGAACGATTAATTGGAAAAATTGTAGTTTGGTCTCTGCTAAATTTAACGTTTACGCTAAATGTAAAATTTCTAGACCGGCGACAGAAAGCAGTGTCAAAGGCGCAAAATGTCTGGACCACGCCCGCTAATACGTCTGCCAAACGTAATCACAAGGCCTCCTTAATAGGGGAGACCCTTTCATCCATTTGTGGACTATATACGAATACAAAAGATGATAATATACACTGCAAACGTAGCGTTTGCAAACGTGATAGCGAATACCGTATGGTGGTGAACACCATGTGATGGTGATGCATAATATAATTAATCATCCCATTTCGTCCCATTCATCCCATAGCTTCGATGACGATATAACCATCTCGTTTACGCTAGATATACGATACTTTTACCATTGACGAGAGCTTCATCAAAGGGGCGAGATGTCACAAGCCCGCCTGCAGAACGTGGCATTTATGGCAAGAACTTTCTACAACGGGAGAGGCCAATTTTCAATATTTGAAAGCTCCATTCCAAACAAAAATTGTATCCTACCTCCTACTCTATGTCTTCACGCATGCGCGGGAGTAGTAGTCGCGCATGCGCGAAGACCTTAATTTGATATAAAATAAGATATTAATATAAAATAAATATAAGAATTTAATATAAAACATCTTAATTTAATCTAAACTAACATATTATATTTCTAAATAAAATGTAATAATAATTATTTTATGGAATTCACAAATCTTCAATTTACGCAATATTTAGTTTGTACGGATTGCAGTACAGTTCAGTTGAACATAGTCAATGTTCGGAATGGCTTCTCTAGTACGTAGTACATAATATAACTCAATGGTTCTAACTTACTACTGTTTTTGTACGTACTGTTAAATTAAAGTGAAAGATATAATTGTTTCCCTAGGTAATCTTTTAATTCGTATAATTTTAATAATGTGATTTCATTTTAGGTCCGCAAGCCACAGATTTCCTCAAGGTAAAAACAATTGAACACGAATGCTATACAGATGTGTCAGACGCTGACACTGAGGAAGAGGAATAAAATATCGTATTTATCTAAGACACATAATATATGTTTCCTATTATTATACAAAAATCTAATATTTATTTTTTCTAACCATTGTTATTCATTAAAATATAATCTTTATCTATTAATTATTTCATTAATATCATTGAAATCGATAACCACACTAAGAATACAATTTCAGCTACCTTCAGATAGCAGGATTCTTCCAATAACTTGCATATTTAATTTATTGTTACATAGAAGGATGAAGATTAAATAGAGATACCTAATTAGGTATAAATAAAAGATGAAAAAGTTATTCGCATTAATTATTCTATATATATATATATATATATATATATATATATGTGTGTGTGTGTGTGTGTTATCATTACAAGAATTTCGGAAGCCGTGTTTGGCGAGGGACTAAGCGCTTATCGAAAATTTGACGATTTCCCTTCGGCTCTACACCCACCGGCATTAATGAACGCAATATGAATTTAAAAATAATTGAAAACCTGCAGTCCGCCAACACTCGTGGTCAGTGACCTATTACAAGCTTATGAATTAGATATTTTAACCGCGGAGTAAGAATATCCACTACCCCATATCATCCTGTGGGTGTCGTAATAGGCGACAGAGGGAAATTGAAACAGGAGGTGGTCAGCAGCGTCTTCCTGATAACAACTTAAAATGATAAAAAATGCGGTTGCCAACCGCCTGCCAAGCGTGGCAAATATGGCAAAATCTCTTATGAGGCAATCTATGCGGGAGGCCTATGTTAAGCAGTAGACTTTTTAGAATGATGTGGATAGATGGAAGAAGATATTAAATATAACATATCCGTTGTTTTACACTAAAAATTATGTCATCGTTTTTTTGACATAGAACATAGAACCCTATCGATTGTACAAAAAAGTGTTTAAACGACCCAGATAACGAAAAATTTCCTATAATCTCGAGGTTTTTTTACGTGGTAGAGCCATGCTGTAGCTATATTAATAGTATAGTTGTAGCACGAATGGGTCGGCTCGACCGGGGAAGGACCACGCTTTAACAGAATACCAGCGTAAAACAGCAGCTCAACGCTGCTATGTTTCATATGGTGAGTGTAGGGAAGCGGAGACCTATTTTACTGGAAACGAGCCATTCCATCTTCCCCCGTGTAGTGGCGGGAAAGAATACTCACTACCCCATATCTTCCCGTGGGTGTCGTAAGAGGCGACAGAGGGAAACTGAAGCAGAGGATGGGCAGCAGCATCTTTCTGATAACAGCAAAAAAACAATAAAAAAAACTGCGGTTGCCAACCCGCTCGCCAAGCGTGGCAACTATAGCAATATACCCCCATAAAAGTAACGAAGAGACGGCCCCCAGTCCCCGGCGGCCCCGCTATTCCTGGCTACAGTGGCGACCATGGTAACGGCGGGGCAGGGGGTTCCGAGAATCTCCGGTGGAGGTTCGGTTGCCACCTACGACGAGTCGACCTGGCAACTTATAACGCACGCACCCTGAGGACTGACGAGAAGATCCTGGAGCTGGAAGAAAAGATAGACAAGTTACGCTGAAATATCATAGGATTATCCGAGGTCCGAAGAGAGGGGGAGGATACGGTAATCCTCGAATCCGGCAACTTGTTCTAACACCGGGAGGGCGACCATCTGCCCCAAGGAGGTTTCGGATTTATCGTCCACAAGTCTCTCGTTAACAACGTTGTAAAGATTGGGAGTGTGTCTACGAGGGTTGCTTACCTTATACTCAGAATCACCAAACGGTATTCGCTGAAGGTCATACAGGTTTACACACCAACCTCGGCACACCCCGATGAGGAAGTGGAGGAAATGTATGAGGATATCTCTAGAGCCATGCATTTATCTAAAACCCACTATACGGTGTTAATGGGAGACTTCAACGTAAAACTAGGCACAAGAGAGAACGGTGAGCTGAAAGTAGGGAAATTCGTAATAGGGCAACGGAACCCAAGGGCCCAGCAGCTGGCCGACTTCATGAAGAAAGAGGGACTCGTTATGATGAAGTCTTTAGGAGGTCCACTTCCTGTGGCAGCCCCACAGGAAGTGGACCTGGTCGAGCCCCAACGGTTCGACAAAAAATGAGATTTACTTCATTATGACGACTAGACGACAACTGTTCAGTGATATCTCCTTAATCGCGAGGGTGAAAATCGGCAGCGATCACCGAAAGGTGAGAGGCACACTGAACCTAAACGTTAAGTTGGAGAGGTCACGTCTAATGAAGTCAACGCTCCGTCCCCCTCGTGCTCTAATCCAAAGTCCCGAAACCTTTCAGCTCGAGCTACGAAACCGTTTTCAGTGCCTAGAAGATTGCAATGCAGTGGACGATATGAATGACAAGCCCGTGGAAACTGTCCATGCGGTCGGAGCTAAGTTTTGCAAGTCCCGCCGCAGAAGAACACAAAAACACTCCGATCACACTCTTAATCTCATGGCTGTTAGACGGGATATGAAGCTGCAGTCTTCAGTAGATTTGACAGCATACAGGCAACTGAACAGACAGATCTCCAAATGCATGCGGCGGGATTTACGCAACTTTAATACTGCTCGTATTGAAGAAGCGATCGAGCGGAACAAGGGCTCCAAAATCTTTGCTAGAGATCTGTCTGCCAGAAAGAGCCAACTGTCGAAGCTGAAGACCGAGTGTGGCAGCGTCATTTCCGGGACACCTGAGATTTTGAGTGAGATTGAGAGGTTCTATGGGCAGCTGTACACGTCATCGTTGGAGCCACACGCAAGTGTGAGTAACGATCCAAGAGCGAGTCTTATCCGACATTATTCCGATGATATCCCGGACGTCAGTCTGAGCGAGATTAGAATGGCTCTCCAGCACCTTAAAAACGGCAATGCCCCAGGCCGAGGATGGAGTTACAGCGGAGCTTCTGAAAGCGGGTGGAAAACCTGTACTTGAAGTCCTTCAGAAGCTTTTTAATTCCGTCCTCCATCGTGGCATTACACCGGAGGCGTGCAGCAGAAGTGCGGTGGTCTTGTTCTTCAAGAAAGGCGATAACGCTCTCTTGAAGAACTGCAGACCGATTTCCCTTCTGAGCCGCGTCTACTTGCTGTTTTCGAGAGTCATTACGAATCGTCTCGCGCGCAGACTTGATGACTTCCAGCCTCCCGAACAAGCCGGTTTCCGAGAAGGCTTTAGCACCATAGACGACATACTTACCCTTCGGCAAATTGTACAGAAGTCCGAGGAGTACAATGTGCCACTATGTCTGGCCTATGTGGACTATGAGAAAGCCTTGGATTCCGTCAAAATTTGGGCGGTGCTGCAGTCCCTTCGGCGGTGTCAAATTGACTGTCGTTATATCGAAGTGTTGAAGTACTTGTACAGTAGGGCTACGATGGCTATCCGAGTACAGAACCAGAATACGAAACCTATTCAATTGCAGAGAGGTGTAAGACAGGGTGACGTCATATCCCCGAAACTCTTCACCGCTGCATTGGAAGACGTTTTCAAGCTTCTGGACTGGAAAGGATACGGTATCAACATCAATGGCGAGTACATCACTCACCTTCGATTTGCCGACGATATAGTCCTTATGGGAGAATCGCTGGAGGACCTAAGCACTATGCTCAATGACCTCAATAGTGTTTCTCAACGGATAGGTCTTAAGATGAACATGGACAAAACCTGGTAAGTCCAACTTCGACCGAGAGGTCAATCGACGAATTCAACTCGGTTGGGCAGCGTTCGGGAAATTACGGCATATATTCTCGTCAGGTATACCTCAAACCTTGAAAACGATACTGTACAACCAGTGCGTGTTGCCAGTGATGACCCATGGAACTGAGACGTGGTCCTTCACTGCTGGCCGGATGAGGAAGCTCAAGGTCGCTCAGCGAGCTATGGAGAAGCATGCGTGATAAACTTAGAAATGAGGATATCCGCAGTTTTTTTTTCTTTTTTTTAGCATTTTCTCCTGTGTCGTGGAGGCAGTTTACAAACATAAATTGCACAAGGACAAACATCCAGACCCGGAACAATTATTTGTAGGCCATACAAATACTTGTTCCGTGCGGGATTTGAACCCGCGGCCCCCAGCGCAACAACTGATTGCTAAGCCACTGCGCCACAGAGCCGTCAAGTAGAACCAGAGTGACCGACATAGCCCAACGGAATAGTAAGCTGAGGTGGCAATGGGCCGGCCATATAGCTCGAAGAACCGACAACCCATGGGTAAAAAAGGTTCTCCACTAGATGGAGTGACGACCTGGTAAGATATGCAGAAAGTCGATGGATGCAGGTGGCTCAGGACCGTGCTTTGTGGCATTCCTTGAGGAAGGCCTATGTTCAGCAGTGGACTTGTGAAAGGCTGTAATGATGATGATGATGATGATGATGAGCCATTCCATCTTAGTCCTCACGGGTGACAACGCATCAGCATTTTAATTCGTAATCTTTTTTTTTTTTACTTATTATAAGCGAGCCAGCTTGACCACAATCCCACCTGGTGATAAGTGGTGATGCAGCCCTAGATGGTAAATCGGACTGTCTTAGCGTAACAAATGCCTATTTCATATTCCGCCCAGATTATATTCGGACGGAAAGATAGACGCCGGTATGTACTTTACAGCCTATCAAAAATCCACCGCGGTACAAACGCCTCGCCCATGGATTGCCTCATATTGGGATATTTACCATAGTTGCCACACTTGGCAAGCGCGTTGGCAACGGCAGTCTTTTTTATTGATATTAGTCCCCGGGTTTGTGGTCCTCTGTCGTCCCTTACGACACCCACGGGATGATGTACGATAGCCGACCGCCACTGCACGGTATAAGGCCAGATCTACATTTTAATTCTTTATCGATGATAGATAGATTTGTCGCTAACAATTTACCATCAGGTGGACTTGTTCTAGTTTGTCACCCCTACTTATAATAAAATATGTACTCCGCCTATTAAGCCACGTCATGTTTAATACCTGGCCTTTTCATACGGTGGTGAAACAGTGACGGTTTACATCACCGAGTATATTATATATTTATTATAGGGGGTTGCTTGTATGCCAGACAACATTATTAAACAACAATCTTATGAGTTCCTGTACTTTATGGCCAGTGTAAATAGGTATCAAATTAAAATATATAAAGCCCGCCATACACGATCAAGTTTACCGTCAAGTTTGCAGCGCGCTTGAAGCGGCGTTCAGTTTGCAGTGCATCCATATATACCTACCTCAAGGTTTTAAATTAAACACAGGTTTCAAAATTTAAAATGAAAGAAAAATAATACATGACTGAAATTTATAATTCATAAATACACATTTATATAGTATAGAAAACAATTACAATCTATAAAATAAAAATTATTACAATCTATTTCAACAAAATTAAACTAACTTAATGATAGGGAAATGTCTATGTACAGAGAAATCAAACTCCGGAGGCGCGGTCGATTCCCGTTTGTGGCCGCCAGCGAGCAACTTTAAAACTACGAAATTTGTTTTCACTACTTTGAGTAGATCGGTCACCTGAAATTGAAAAATGTAATTACGCACTTACAATATTATTTTTTTGAAATGGCAACACAGTTTTCGAATGGCAATCTCGTACAGGTAAGCAAAGTGTAGAGCAACCCTCTGCCTAATAAGAGACGCAGAAAGTCGATGGGTGCAGATGACTCAGGCAGTTGGCTTGGCTTTCTTTAATTTTTTTTTTATAGTAGAGGGGGCAAACGAGCATGCGGCTCACCTGATGGTAAGTGACTACCGCCGCCCATGAACAACTGCAACACCAGGGAGGGAATTGCAGATGCGTTGCCGGCCTTTTAAAAAGGAGTACGCTCTTTTCTTGAAGGTCCCTAAGTCGTATCGGTCCGGAAAAATCGCTGATGGTAATCGATTCCACAAGGAAGTCGTGCGAGGAAGAAAACATCTTCTAAATCGCACAGTGGTGGATCGCCAATCATCCAGATGGTGTTTTTTTTTTTTTATAGGAGAGGGGGCAAACGAGCATGCGGCTCACCTGATGGTAAGTGACTACCGCCGCCCATGAACAACCGCAACACCAGGGGAATTGCAGATGCGTTGCCGGCCTTTTAAAAAGGAGTAGGCTCTTTTCTTGAAGGTCCCTAAGTCGTATCGGTCCGGAAAAATCGCTGATGGTAATCGATTCCACAAGGAAGTCGTGCGAGGAAGAAAACATCTTCTAAATCGCACAGTGGTGGACCGCCAATCATCCAGATGATGTGGATGGTATCGGGAGTTCTGCCGCGATGTGCGTTCATGAAATTTGGCGGCTGGGATTAATCCGAACAATTCCTCAGAGCACTCCCCATGGTAGATGCGATAGAAAATGCAAAGAGATGCAATATCTCTTCGCAGTGCCAATGAATCAAGCCGATCGGAAAGGGCTCGGTTGTCGACGATTCGAGCCGCTCTGCGCTGGATGCGGTCAAGTGGAAGGAGCTGGCATTGGGGAGCCCCTGCCCAGAGATGGGAACAGTATTCCATGTGAGGCCGAACCTGCGCCTTGTAAAGTTGCAGGCGGTGTGCCGGCATGAAATACTGTCCAGCTCTGCTGAAAAAAAATACGGTAAAAGCCAACAAATTATTGTTCCGCGTCAGAGTTGTTTGACAACTTATGTGCGTACAAAAAACGCCTCCACGATACAGAAAAATTCTAGTGAGTAACGTTTATATAAAGTAAAAAACAAATTATTTTAAGCATCTTACCTCCTGGTCAGGTGTCGTGATGGTCTCCAAAAGAGATCGCGCTTGCTGAAAATGTTTGCAGCCGCCTAGATATAGGATCACTGGATTTTCATACCTAAACCAAAAATTTATATATAATATTATTAATATATATTCTTTGTTGATCTTCATATAGTTATTTTGTTGATCTTTAATTATTTCTTTTTCAAATCATTTTACATCTCCAACGTAGTGTTCTCTGCTTACTTATAAGTTGACTGGTGGAGAATGCCTTAAGGCCTTAAGTCCGCTTTTGTACATTTTCGTACAAAAAGTTTAAATAAATAAATGAAACAATTGTGATTCTGTATTCGATCGGATCGATTCCTGATATTAACATAGATAGTTTAAAGTAGAAAACGAAAATAACTTAATCATAAAAGTTTAAAACGAAAATTACTTCGTCATAAACTTCTAAATCCACTCTCGGAATTGGAACCTGTGTTATTTACTAATAAGCACGGTTGCGACGGAGTACATTGTAACAAAAAATACAGGTTCTGTTACCGTTACAACCTGTTAAAGTTCACTGCTGAACATAGTTCTTCTCCATTAATTGCTTCATAGTTATTTGCCATAGTTGCCACACTTGGCAAGTGAGTTGGCATCCGCAAATTTTTATTTTGTAGTTGTTATAAGGAAGACGCTGCTGCCCATCTCCTGGTTTGTTTTCCTCTGTCGCCTCTTACGACATACCACGAGTTGTTATGGGGTGGTAGATATTTTTATAACGCCACTATACGTTGGTATGCAGGATCGAGAAACAAAATGGATATGATATGTTTTCATATTATGAAGTACTTATTCGTAAATATTTGGAGGCCTGTGCTTAGCAATATCCCTTTTGCTTTAAGCTTAAGGACTGTTCATTTTATTTTTCTACTTAAGCAATCTGTAAAAGTCCCCTGTTGGACATAGATGTCTTTCACTCTAGAAAGCAAAGGTCATAATCACCACGCTGAGCAAGTTAGCAAACATCTAAGCATTTATGCTCCTCGTCACCAGTCTAGTATTTCACAACGTAAATGATTATCCTAGCATCTATCGAAAATATAAGATCGTTCTGGCCTTGCCCTTTTTTCTCACGACAATCACGACAATATGGCGATGCAATGTCTGCTTTAACTTTTTACAAGTTCTCGGATTAGTGTAGTTCGAGTATTGGGCGACAATTTTAGGTTAGAGATAGAATTATTTTTTACGTGGTAAAACTGTGTTATGGTTGTAGCACGTATGGGTCGGTTCGACCAAGGAAAGACTACGCTCTCATGAACACCACTTTAATAAAGCTGCTTAATGCTGCTACATTTTGTATGGTGAGTGTAGAGAACCGTATACCGTTTTCAATCGACTTCAAAAAGAAGGAGGTACTAAATCCGACTGTATGTTTTTTCTTTTGTGTGTTACCTCGTAACTTTTTTGTCAGTGAACCCATTTCGGTGATTCTTTTTTTATTTGAAAGCTGATGCTTCTCATGTAGTCCCATATAAATTCATCAAGGTCCGACCAGTGGTTTTAGGGTTATCCTTAATAATTTATATTTAAGTCTATTGAACAAACTTTTTATTTTTACCACTTGTTAAAACGAGATATTCTATCTTAGTCCTCAGAGGTGACAATGCATCTGCATTTTGATTTCGAAACGGGGATAGATGTAGATGTCTATGGGCTACAGCATCTACTTATCGTTAGGTTAACTGTGTGCTCGTTTGTCACCCTTATACTAACACAAAACAAATCCTTCTTATTTATTCTCTATATCCACCCGTAACAGAACGGAACTGCTCGACATGCGTCTCTCGTTGTAGGAAGGTCGACACGCTTGGCAGGTTTTTCTATCGCATTAGTAAGATTGTCAAGTTCAATACGTGCTATTGAGTAAAAAAAAACTATAAGAGTCGAGTCTTGGAGTAAATTAAAGTTTATAACGTAATTTTGTAAACTCGAATCAATCATGAAATACTCCAGGCGCCGATTAGTTAAAAGCGACTGGAATCTTATGCCCATATTCAGAGACAATCACGAGCTTAAACTCAAATTCCACAATGTCAAACTATGAGTCTAGAGTCTAGACCAAACTATGTATGTCTACACAAATTTCTACACTGCGTAGTTTGAGTTCAAATTCGAAATTGTCGCGGAATATCAAACATAAAAAAACGAGTCTTTAAAAAAACTCGGAATATGAATCCTAAGACCCGAATGTGCCGAACGAGAAGGCAATTTCAAAAAAAAACTATACAAGCTTCAAGGTGTCTCGCATCATGGCTCAACTTTTTTATTAAATTATGATTTCGGATTGATAATACACCAAATAACTCGTAAAGTTTCATTGCTGTTTACTATTCAAATTATATTTATTGTGAACACACAAACAAAACCCAGTCTCGCCGCGTAAAAAGAACTCAAGCGCATAGACTCGACCTCTTAATTTTTTTTTATAGAATAAGGGTGACAAACGAGCACACAGTCCACCTGATGGTAAGTGGTTGCTGTGGCCCATAGACATCTACATCTATCTTCGTTTGCGAATTAAAATGCAGATCTTTCATGTGGTAGAGCCATACTGCAGCTATATTAGTAGTATAGTTGTAGCACGAATGGGTCGGCTCGACCGGGGAAGGACCACGCTCTCACAGAAAACCACCGTAAAATAGCAGCTTAACGGTGCTGTGTTTCGTATGGTGAGTGTAGAGAACCGGAGACCCTTTTACTGGCAAAGAGGCATTCCATCTTAGTCCTCACGGGTGACAACGCATCTGCATCTGAGTCTTTATTGAGGATAGATGTAGATGTCTATGGGTCACAGTAACCACTTACCATCAGGTGGTCTGTGTGCTCGTTTGTCACCCTATCCTATAAAAAAAAGATGCGTTGTCAGCTGTGAGGACTAAGATGGAATGCCTCTTTTCCAGTAAAAAGGGTCTCCGGTTCTCTATACTCACCACACGAAACACAGCAGCATTAAGCTGCTATTTCAATGGCAAGAATTCGTAGACATTAGTCCTCTAGTCTTAGACTCCTTCCTATTGTAATAAATCAAGTTTTCTAATTCATTAGCCGTGTTCAAGTAATATCGCAGACTTGAGTACTCTGCAACATTAAAATAAGTAGTACCTATGTTAGTGTCTCCACACTCTTATATATGCGCATAAATTTAAAATGTAAGTGCTAACAAAAAAATTATCGTATATTCATTTCTTTGATTGCAATCTTTTATTCTTTTTTTTCAAATCTTTTAACAATAGGTACTTAAGAAGACGTTGCAACATAAATAATCATTACTATTATAGCGTAATAATTACTTCACTCACATAATAAAAAATATATATTATAAGTAACCGACATAGCCCAACGGATTAGTAAGCTGAAGTGGCAGTGGGCCGGCCATATAGCTCGAAGAACCGACGACCGATGGGTGAAAAAAGTTCACGAGTGGCGGCCTCGTACCGGTAGGCGAAGTGTAGGGCGAGCCCACACTAGATGGTGTGACGACCTGGTAAGACATGCAGCAAGTGGGGGAGGCCTATGTTCAGCAGTGGACTTTTGAAGGGCTGCAATGATGATGATGATGATGATGATGATAAGTGACGACCTAAGCCCGACATAAGAATTTTGTTAGGGTAGTTCATTTCTAACAACAATAAGCTAGTGCTTGACATGCCAACTGATGGTAAATGGTGATGTAGCCGAAGTTGGTAAATTATACAAAGTACCTGAGCGACAGAGTTTTGCTCCATCAGAAAAAAAATTCTCAGAGATAACACCTATCGAACGATATGAATCGTTAGCCGTTTCAGAAAAGTCATTTACTACTAAATTTCTCAAAAAGAGTATTAAATAGCTTTAATCGTATCTCGATAAATTAAAGATTTTCTGTAAAAAATACTGTATTCTTATTATCTAACATTTTTGAAGCAAAGCTTTGATCTTATATAGCTTATAAAATACGCATAACGCCATTAAACATATACATAAGTCTACAAATACAACATTTTATTTTTCTATAATAATTTAATTATACCCAGCTTTGAGGCAGTGTGCTAGAATACTGAAGAACAAAGAGTTAAAAAAAAATCAAACTACAATGCAGGATTCGAACTCGCGCATTTCGGCGTGCCAGGTAGCCGTAGAACTAGCCATTGGGCTATTAAGATTATATGGCAAAATTACCAACATATTGCGCGGGTAAGTGAAGTTTGTTGCTTTGTGCGTGAAAACACAGAGAAAAACGAATTTTCCCAGAAATAAAACTACTTTTACGGATTCTATCGCGTTTAATTAACTTGTTTTTTATTGATTCGCGACGTTTCGGTACTTTTGGCTGCTGTAAATTAGATCATCATTCATCATTACAGCCCTTCACAAGTCCACTGCTGAACATAGGCCTCCCCCAAAGAATGCCACAAAGCACGGTCCTGAGCCACCTGCATCCATCGACTTCCTGCATGTCTTACCAGGTCGTCACTCCATCTCGTGGGGGGACGCCCTACACTTCGCCTACCGGTACGAGGCTGCCACTCGAGAACCTTTCTTCCCCATCGGTTGTCGGTTCTTCGAGCTATATGGCCGGCCCACTGCCACTTCAGCTTACTAATTCGTTGGGCTATGTCGGTTATTCTGGTTCTACTGCGGATATCCTCATTCCTAAGTTTATCACGCAGAGAAACTCCAAGCATAGCCCTCTCCATAGCTCGCTGAGCGACCTTGAGCTTCCTCATACGGCCAGCAGTGAAGGACCACGTCTCAGTTCCGTAAGTCATCACTGGCAACACGCACTGGTTGTACAATTTCGTTTTAAGGTTTTGAGGTATGTCTGACGAGAATATGTGTCGTAGCTTCCCGAACGCTGCCCAGCCGAGTTGAATCCGTCGATTGACCTCTCGGTCGAAGTTGGACTTACCTAGTCGGACTATTTGTCCCAGGTAAACATACTCGTCAACAACTTCGAGCTTAGTGCTCCCAACAACTACCGGCATAGGTGTGACATGGACATTAAACATGATCTTTGTTTTGTCCATGTTCATCTTAAGACCTATCCGTTGGGAAACACTATTGAGGTCATTGAGCATAGTGCTTAGGCCCTCCAGCGATTCTGCCATAAGGATTATATCCTCGGCAAATCGAAGGTGAGTGATGTACTCGCCATTGATGTTGATACCGTATCCTTTCCAGTCCAGAAGCTTGAAAACGTCTTCCAATGCAGTGGTGAAGAGTTTCGGGGATATGACGTCACCCTGTCATACACCTCTCTGCAATTGGATAGGTTTCGTACTCTGGTTCTGTACTCGGATAGCCATCGTAGCCCTACTGTACAAGCACTTCAACACTTCGATATACCGACAGTCAACTTGGCACCGCTGAAGGGACTGCAGCACCGCCCAAATTTCGACGGAATCAAAGGCTTTCTCATAGTCCACATACGCCAGACATAGTGGCAAATTGTACTCTTCGGACTTCTGTACAACTTGCCGAAGGGTATGTATGTGGTCTATGGTGCTAAAGCCCTTTCGGAAACCGGCTTGTTCGGGAGGCTGGAAGTCGTCAAGTCTGCGCGCGAGACGATTCGTAATGACTCTCGAAAACAGCACGTAGACGCGGCTCAGAAGGGAAATCGGTCTGTAGTTCTTCAAGAGAGCGTTGTCACCTTTCTTGAAGAACAAGACCACCGCACTTCTGCTCCACGCCTCCGGTGTAATGCCACCATGGAGGACGGAATTAAAGAGCCTCTGAAGGACTTCAAGTACCGGTCTTCCACCCGCTTTCAGAAGCTCCGCTGTAATTCCATCCTCGCCTGGGGCCTTACCGTTTTTAAGGTGCTGGAGAGCCATTCTAATCTCGCTCAGACTGACGTCCGGGATATCTTCGGAATAGTGTCGGATAAGACTCGCTCTTGGATCGTTACTCACACTTGCGTGTGGCTCCAACGATGACTTGTACAGCTGCCCATAGAACCTCTCAATCTCTCTCAAAATCTCAGGTGTCCCGGAAACGATGCTGCCACATTCGGTTTTCAGCTTTGACAGTTGGCTCTTTCTGGCAGACAGATCTCTGGCAAAGACTTTGGAGCCTTGGTTCCGCTCTATCGCTTCTTCAATACGAGCTGTATTGAAGTTGCGTAAGTCCCGCCGCATGCATTTGGAGATCTGTCTGTTCAGATGCCTGTATGCTGTCAAGTCTGTTGAAGAATGTAGCTTCATCTCCCGTCTAACAGCCATGAGATTAAGAGTGTGATCGGAGAGTTTTTGTGTTCTTCTGCGGCGGGTCTTGCAGAACTTAGCTCCGACCGCATGGACAGTTTCCACGAGCTTGTCATTCAAATCGTCCACTTCATTGCAGTCTTCTAGGCACTGAAAACGGTTTTGTAACTCGAGCTGAAAGGTTTCGGGACTTTGGATTAGAGCACGAGGGGGACGGAGCGTTGACTTCATTAGACGAGACCTCTCCAACTTAACGTTTAGGTTCAGTGTGCCTCTAACCATTCGGTGATCGCTACCAGTTTTCACCCTCGCGATCACGGAGACATCACTGAACAGTTGTCGTCTGGTCGTCATAATGAAGTCAATCTCATTTTTTGTCGAACCGTCGGGGCTCGACCAGGTCCACTTCCTGTGGGGCCGCTTCTGGAAGAAAGAGTTCATCATAAAGAGTCCCTCTTTCTCCATGAAGTCGGCCAGCTGCTGGCCCCTTGGGTTCCGTTGCCCTATTCCAAATTTCCCTACTTTCAGCTCACCGTTCTCTCTTGTGCCTAGTTTTGCATTGAAGTCTCCCATTAACACCGTATATTGGGTTTTGGAGGAATGCATGGCTCTAGAGATATCCTCATACATTTCCTCCACCTCCTGATCGGGGTGTGCCGAGGTTGGTGCGTAAACCTGTATGACCTTCAGCGAATACCGTTTGGTGATTCTGAGTATAAGGTACGCAACCCTCGTCGACACACTCCCGATCTTTACAACGTTGTTAACGAGAGACTTGTGGACGATAAATCCGACACCTCCTTGGGACAGATGGTCGCCCTCCCGGTGATAGAGCAAGTTGCCGGATTCGAGGATTACCGTGTCCTCCCCCTCTCTTCGGACTTCGGATAATCCGATAATATGCCAGCGCAACTTGTCTATCTCTTCTTCCAGCTCCACGATCTTCTCGTCAGTCCTCAGGGTGCGTGCGTTGTACGTTGCCAGGTCGAGTCGTCTAAGGTGGCAGCCGAACCTCCACCGGAGATTCTTAGCACCCCCTGCCCCGCCGTTACCATGGTCGCCACCGTAGCCAGGAATAGCGGGGCCGCCGGGGACTGGGGGCCGTCTGTTTGTTGCTTTAGTCATTGGGGGGTATTTGCCATAGTTGCCACGCTTGGCGAGCGGGTTGGCAACCGCAGTTTTTTTATTATAATTTTGGCTATTATCAGAGACATGCTGCTGCCCACCTTCAGCCTGTTTCCCTTTGTCGCCTTTTACGACACCCACGGGAGGATATGGGGTAGTGGATATTCTTGACCGCCACTACACGGTAAATTAGATAGAATCCGTAAAAGTAGTTTTATTCAATGTGTAGTGTTCGCGTAAATATAAGAAATAATTTCCCAGAAATATATGTTTTTAATACATCTTTTAGCCCCGTGAACCTCTATGTATTATTAAAATAATATTTTAAATACAACTACAGACAGCAGCATCTTCCAGATAACAACCCGAAGATAATTAAAAGCTACGGTTGCCAACACGCCTACCAAGCCAGGCAACTATGGCAAATAATGCTAAAATGATTGCTTATACGTGGTGTTAGAACGTTTAAGTACTGCAATGTTACCGCGCCGATGATAACGGCTTTGAAATCAATATTTTACACGATAAAATACTATAAGTATTACAAAAATTTATGCATCAGTTAATTCAGTACAAACAAAGAGCCTTTAATCTTAGTACACGAGCAGTCAAGAAAATTATTTGCAATTTTATGTGCAGATTTACCAAGTGTTCGGCGGTAAATGAAAACATCATGAAGAAACCAGCATATCTATGAAATAAAAAAAACTACGAGAATATGAGAAGTGTACTTCAATAAACCTTCTCAGAAATAAGATAAGATTATAAAACATATTTAGAAAGATTAAAAATATTTTATCCTTGAAACCGTTATCAAATTTATTCTCAGAGTTGAATGTATTAATAATTTTTCAAGGAATGGACGGGGCAATTAGTTTAAATACTTTGATAAAAATTTTAGTTTAACTGCTATATCGGCTGTATATAATGATATTTACTCACTTCGCTGGCTGTGTCATCTCGCAGAACTCATGATAATGGACTTGTGGAGGTGTGAGCACAGATAGCGGGGCAAAGCGATGTTTGTATCGCACAGCTTCGTTGTCAAACTCTGAGTCGGGTTGACGAATCTTGCCTTGAAGTTTGAACGCTACCAAAGCCTACAAAAATAATAAATATGAATTCATCTTTTTTATTGTTCTTATTATTATATTTCAAAGATTTCTTCCAATGTAGATGTCAATAATAATATTCAGTCAATCTGGGTTGCTACTATCCTCTTACCTCTTACAATTTCTGCCACCAAACAGCAGTACAAATATGAGCATTTTTTAAAGCTAGCATAAGGATGACAAACGAGCACACATTCCACTTGATGGGAAGTGGATGATGTGGCTCATAGACATCTAAATTTATCCTCGATTAAGAATCAAAATGCAAATGCGTTGTCACCACTAAGGAATAAGATGGAATGCCTAGTTTCCAGTAAAAGGGGTCCTCCGACTCTCTACACTCACCATATGAAACACAGTAGCATTACGCTGCATTTTCACGCTGGTATTTTGAGCCGACCCCAGTCGAGTCGACCCTTTCGTGCTACAGCCATAATATAGCTGCAGCGTGGCTCTACCACGTAAGGCACTTCATCTTGAACCTCAGGATCATTAGGGAATTCATCACCCCATTCGTCTCCCTTAGGTATTGTAAGAGGCAACTTTCGGAAATATCAAAGGATCTTATGGCTAATTTATTTATTTATTCTTTATTGTACACCGAAATTCAGAATATAAATAGAAGTGCAATTTTAAGTATATGTGCAACAGGAATATGAATACCTACTAAATATAAATACATTCTAAATAATATGCTTTGAAAGCAGTAAGAAATTTAGTACGTTTATCTGAATTTTTCACTTTATCTGATTGGTCAAAGATGACAGACATCTGGTACTGCGATCACCTGTCCGCCTGCCAATGTCCTCCTAAAAACGATAAGGGCTATGTCCAGCAGTGGACTTTTACGGGCGACTAAAGAATGAAGAAGGAAGATATGAGCAAAAGTATATCTACCTTGTAGTATCCGCCGCACATGTTCTGCAGGACCTGGCACATGAGACCTTCACGAGCGTAAGGCCGCGTGCGTTTCTTGTGTTTACGTGTTGAGTTTCGCTTGACGTCACGACGCGCAGTTTCTCCCGCAAGCCCCTCCGCTCTTCCCAACGCCGATAGTAACCATCCGTATAGGAACTCATATAAATACCTATGCAAATAAAAACAGTAACTTTTTATTGAATACAAATTATAAATAATACTTATTGCAAGTCATTACATATTTTGTTTAATTTTTTTTATAGGATAGGGTGACAAACGAGCACACAGTCCACCTGATGGTAAGTGGTTGCTGTGACCCATAGACATCCACATCTATCCTCAATAAAGAAACAAAATGCAGATGCGTTGTCACCCGTAAGGTCTCAGATGGAATGCCTCTTTTCCAGTAAAAAGGGTCGCCGGTTCTTTACACTCATCATACGGAACACAGCAATGTTAACCTGCTATTTTACGCTGGTATTCTGTGAGAGCGTGGTCCTTCCCCGATCGAGCCGACCCATTTGTGCTACAACTATACTATTAATATAGCTGCAGCATGGCTCTACCACGTACAAAATGTAGTATACCACTGACTCGGAAACTACCAGCAAGAAATAAAAAAAGTCGCGTTGGACTTTTTTTTCAAAAAAAGATCACTTTACAATCATATATTATGTTCGATCACCTAACCCTAGGCCCACCCTACACGTGTCCCCCGGGTGGTGCTAAACGAGCGACAAAGCCGAAAGGATAGACAGCCTTTCATAAGTCCACTGCTGAACATAGGCCTCCCCCAAGGAATGCCACAGAGCACGGTCCTGAGCCACCTGCATCCATCGACTTCCTGCATGCCTTACTAGGTCGTCACTCCATCTCCTGGGGGGTCGCCCTACACTTTGTCTACCGGTACGAGACTGCCACTCAAGAACCTTTCTTCCCCATCGGTTGTCGGTTCTTCGAGCTATATGGCCGGCCCACTGCCACTTTAGTTTACTAATCCGTATGGTAGCGGCGTAAAATCTACCACCACTTAGTGCGCACCATGAGCCAGCAAATAAAAGAAATGGACCCGAGTTCGAAAGGGGCAGGGGTGCGAAGAAAATCCGGGAGAAAAACCGGCGACGAGGTTCGCCACCCGTCACGTCCTGTCTCCCGGAGGGGCGAAAAGTGGATTGCGGAGGCCCGTCTGTTTACGCTGAATGTATGTGGAACAATGAATGATAAGATGCATGAAGTATGCGACATGATGAATGATAGAGGAATAGATGATGTGTTATGTGTAAATGAGATGAAATGAAAGGGAAGAGATGTCACTGCACATGGCATGTATACCGCTTACTGGTCTGGTGTTGACGAGACCGATCGGGCATGCCAGGGTGTCATCCTTTCAGAAAGAATGTGTGAAAGAGTATGAATGTGTAAGCCCAAGGCAGCTATGGATACGAATGAAAGTGGGCTTTAAGAGTTTGTTTGTGCTAGGGGTGTACGCCCCAGATATGTCTAAGCCTACGTATATCCGAGAGCAGTTTTGGGACATGGTAAGGATAGTGTTGATGAAATGTAAGGGAAATGAAAATATTATTATGTTAGGAGATTTTAATGGAAGGGTTGGGGTGAAGAGGTCTGATTATGAAAGGGTATTAGGAACGTTTGGCGATGAAAGTATAAATAAGAATGGTGAAGACCTCCTCACCGTATGTGTGGAAAAGAATATTTTTGTGACGAACATTTTCTTTTGCCATAAGAGGACTCACATGTATACACGGATCGGACGGATCATTACTTGGTCTTATGCCGAATTAAATAACAATAATAAAAACTGTATCAACCTGGTGCATCAAAATATACAAGGTATGTTAGGCAAAGAAATAGAAATTTATTTTTAAATAGTAACAGTATAAATATTTTATGTATTACAGAACATTGGTTGAAAGAATACAACTCCATATTTAATTTCAGTAATCACCAGGTGGTCAGTTCGTTCAATAGAGATACTAAATTACGTGGTGGCTCCTTAATATTAGCTAATAAGTCCTTATCATGTAAAGAACGTAAAGACATTGTGAGCCTCTCTGTTGAGCGTACTGTAGAAATGGCATGTGTTGAGCTTGAGCACCTTATTGTTGTCAGTGTTTACAGACCCCCATGTTCAAGTTATGATACTTTTGAAAAAATTATGGAAGAAGTTTTAGTTAAGCTTAATAAACAGAATAAATCTCTTGTAGTGTGTGGAGACTTTAATATCAATCTCCTGGAAACTTCTTCCATCAGTATTAAATTCTGTTCTTTGTTCAAATCCTATAATCTTAATAATTTATTCTTTGAAGCCACACGTATTGCAGGGTGTAGTGCAACTTGTATTGATAATATTTTTACAGGTGTTGTACCAATCAACAAATCAATAATACAAAAACTTAGTTCAGATCACTGTGGACAACTGGTTTCGTTACCTTATATGCACAAAAAACAGGTAAATGAGAAAATTGTGTTTGTTCCTATTAATGCAAAACGCCTGGAGAGATTTAGAAGTAATATGTTAAAAATCCTTCCATCCCTTTCTTATAAGAACAATGCAGACTATTTATATAGAGAATTATTTACCTTTATAAACAATGAATTTAATAAAACATTCACTTCTAAACCATTCTCCAGAAACAGTCGCAAGGCATTTAATGAGTGGGCGACAGTAGGAATTCATAAAAGCAGACGAAGGTTATATGACCTTTACCATGAAAGATCGTATAATCTTTCCGATGCCTTTAAAGAATATGTAAAAAATTATTCTAAAATGTTTAAAAGAGTTTGCTCCACAGCCAAATCATTACATATTAGTAACAAAATTAAGACAGCTAAGAATAAAATTAAAATGACGTGGAGTATAATTAACAGCGAAACCGGTAAAGAGAAACCTCGTAATTCAAACTATCAATTAAAAATTAATAATGAATTGACTAAATCAAATCAAGAAGTTGCAGCGGTGTTTGAGAAATATTTCACTGATGTTCCTATCTTGACAACAGAGTCATTGAATGCTTCCCCAACTGTCGCCGAATCATTACTTAAACAGAATGTTAATACCTGTTTAAAAGAATTTAGATTTGAAAAAGTATTACCGCATAATATTGTAAAATACTTCAAAACCATTGATGTAAAGAAAACCGCAGATTTGTGGGGGATTTCCGTTACAGTGATTGCGTCCATAATAGATTTAATTGCACCTCATCTTGCTATTATTTTTAATACTTGTATCGATTCTGGTGTGTTTCCTGATTTAATGAAGTATAGTAAAGTAATACCTTTATTTAAATCTGGTAGTACATTGGACCCCGCTAATTATAGACCTATTTCTGTACTACCAACTCTCAGTAAAATTTTTGAAAAAATAATTTTGGATCAATTGTTAATTTTTTTTAATACAAATAAATTACTTCATAAAAATCAATTTGGTTTTACAAGGGGTCGCTCGACGTCTGACGCCGGTGTTGAGCTTATGAAATATATTTTTAATGCCTGGGAGAATTCACAAGATGCCTTAGGTATTTTCTGTGACCTTTCCAAGGCTTTCGATTGTGTTCATCATGATATATTAATCAAGAAACTACAACATTACGGTGTAAAAAATTTGGCGCTTAAACTTATTACTTCATATTTAAGTAACAGAACTCAAAAAGTCGTCATTAATGGTAAATGTTCCTCCGGATCTGTAGTATCAATGGGCGTTCCTCAGGGCTCAATTCTTGGCCCATTCCTGTTCTTAATCTATATTAATGACTTACCTTATCTTGTAGGGGACAATCACGATATAGTATTATTTGCTGACGATACCTCTTTAATTTTCAAACTGAAACGGCAGTCAATTAAATATGACGATGTAAATAATGCTCTATCGAAACTAGTACATTGGTTTAACGCCAACAATTTGCTCTTAAACGGCAATAAGACAAAATGTATTAAATTTACAATACCTAATGTAAAACATTCGAAAACCAATGTGCTCTTAAATGGGGAGGAGTTGAGTCTTGTGGATACCACTGTTTTTCTCGGTATTACTATTGACGCGAAACTTCAATGGGGCCCCCATATATCTAAATTAGCAAGCAGACTTAGTTCTGCAGCATATGCTGTAAGAAAGATTAGAAGTCTCACAGATGTTGAGACAGCTAGGTTAGTGTATTTTAGTTACTTTCATAGCGTAATGTCTTATGGAATTTTGCTATGGGGTAATGCGACTGATATTGAAGCTATATTTGTTTTGCAAAAGAGAGCCGTACGGGCGATTTATAATATAAATTGTAAAGAGTCCCTTAGAGAAAAATTTAAAGAAATAAACATATTAACTTTGGCATCGCAATATATTTATGAAAATGTAATGTATGTACATAAAAACATAAATAGCTTTAATAAGAATAAGGATGTTCATACCTTAAACACTAGGAACAAACATAAGCTTGTAATGCCACTTACAAGACTCCACAGAATTAGTAATTCATTTATGGGGCAATGTATACGCTTTTACAACAGAATCCCAGAACATGTTCAAAGTTTGTCAATAAACAAGTTTAAAAGTTTTATTAAAGAAAAACTGTACAAAAAGGGTTATTATAATATCAAGGAATACATGAATGAAAATAACCCCTGGGAATAAGGTGATCGCCACCATGCTGGTTCTATGAAAATTCATTTAAAATTGTATAAACAAAATTATTGTTAAGTGAAATTATGTTTAAAAAAAAAGTCCCGCTGGGTTTCTTGCTGGTTCTTCCCAGGACAGAGGTATTTTCCGAACCAGTGGTAAATAAAACAATGACATTCAATAAGTATTATGTAATAATCCATATTGAATAAAAATCATTCTATTCTATTCTATTCTATTCTACATGGGCAAGAGGTCATGATAGAAGCATGATAGATTTCATAATTGTGGATGAAATAATGAGGAGCGCAGTGGTAGATACAAGGGTTTACCGGGGGTCCAACGTAGGGACGGATCATTACTTGGTCTTATGCCGAATTAATGGTCTATTCAGGCGGTGCCTACCACTGCGTTACAGCGTATAAGAATAGAGAGTTTATGAAGGTTTAAAGGCAAGTATAAATGTAGACTGAGGGAAAATATAAGTGGTTTGAATGAATTATGTATGAATGATTTATACTTGAAGACTGTATGGA